TTAAAAGTTTAATATTACAAAACAGCTATTTTATGGACATATATTTAAACATAAGAATGGATAAATCAACACTCCACGAAAAGGCAGAAAATGAGAAAAACTCTAACACTTTTCAACACGTGTTTCATCTTCTTGATCCTAGTTATATTTCTGTTTTGACAGGTTATGGTTTGAGAATTCAGAAAAACCAGAAGCCATAAATTCACCTTATCTTCTCATCTTCCTGCGAAGTCGGAAAAAAGGTAAGATTAACAATAATAACAACCCAAAACTAATGCTTTTGCTGTGAGTTGTGGAGAAGACAATTGCTGCCTCATAGCAGTAGAAAGCAGTTTCCTCAAACCATGAGCTTTGCCATATATTTGACATACTCTGTGGTAGTGGGAATTACCAATAAGGTTTAAGAAAAATTAATTAACACAGATTTTATACATTACATGTTTACTACATATTTGCTTTTTATTATGAACCTTAGCATACATATAAGAGTATATGAAAATATACAATTTAAAAACAACCAAATAAATGCTGATGTATGTGATACTGGCCCTGATATCAGTTCCCCTACATTCAACCCAGCATATATGGGGTTAAAACCAAATGCACTCATCCTCTTTCCCTTCTTCTCTAAGTTACATTCATATGTAACTATTGGTTTTCTTTTAAACCTTTGTATCCCTAAACTTCACAAGGCAGATAGAAGGTACAAACTGTCTACCATCCACCATGGAGACAGAGACAGTTGAAGGACACCCACCTGGGATTCCCTTCTCTCTCCATCCTCCTCCCTGCCAGCAGCCCCACAAGGCCAAATGCAGGTTGATGGGAAAGCACCTACCAGCAAGGCCACAGGCTCCCCCTCCCTACAAGCAGCTACATTCCTCACAATCTTTAAAACCCCTTGCCTTCTATCTTTCAGGGAGATGGTACAAATTTGAGAGCTCTCGTCTCCCAGCTTGCGTTACCCGAAATAAAAACTATTTCCTTGCCATAAGCCTGGTGTTCCAGTTTTATTTGGCTCCTCTTTTGTGGTGGGTAAAGAACCTGCATACGTATCCAGTAACATAACACAGTGACCTCTGTGTCACTGGAAGCATTCTGTAGGTGCTTTTCTGTAACTTATTTTTTTCACTCATCACCTTTACTTATTTTCAAGCCTCTCCTTCATTGACACATTAAAGATGATTATTTTATATTCTATGTCTGATTCTGCTATCAGTTGCTTCTGCAGACCCCTTGTCCCCTTGTGTGTGTAGCGTTTTTCTGTACTGTGAGCTAGCTGTCGACTTCCTTTGGAACTCTGTGGGAAGTATGTTTTGAATTCTTTCAAAAGAGCTACCTATTCTAAACTAAATATAGCAAAATGCTGTAATAAAATAGTACTCTATTTTAGTTTAGATCTACTGGGCATGCAGATTATTTGGTAAACAGTTGAGTTGCTAAATTATTTATAAAGAAAAATCACAATGTACATTCAGTATGAATACTAAGAGTGATGACAACCTAGCTGCCATTTTTTCCCCTTTGTCTTTCTGGATTGGGAATGGCACGCGGCAGATACATCACAGCTTCTGATAGGCCCCAAGGAGAGGAAACTGCTACTACAGAGTGATCGTCATAGGCACTGAGGACAGGAGTGGCAGGAGTTATCAGGAAGGTAATACAAATATATTTTTTAAGTCTTTATCTCTTAAGTCCTAAAGCACTGAACATTACAAAGGGGGACACTGTTAATAGTAAAAGCCCTAATCCATAATGAATATATAGTAATTATGATATTTATGTACCAAATAGCAGAGCAACTACCTTTATGAAGCAAAAACAGGAGATGCATGGAGACAGACAGGAACATAATAATAGGAGATTTTAATCTTCTATTCTCAGTATAGGACAGATAAAGTAGACAAAAAATAGGCAGGAGATAGAAGATCTAAACAACATAATCAATAGGGTAAATCTTATGAGTATATATCGAACTCTACACTCTGATAATAGAGAATACATATTCTTCTCAAGTGCTCACAGCACAGTCACAAAAGCTGATCATATATTAGGTCACAAACACAACACCAGTAACTTCCATAAAGTAAAACTAGTACAAAAAATCTCTGACCACAATGCGATAAAACCAGAATTTACAACTGAAACCAAAAAACAGAAAGGTCAATCTACCTGGAAATTTAAAAATCTCTTATTAAAGAACTCCTGAGTAAAAGGAGAAATTATAAAAAAAATGATGATAAAAACATTACATATCAGAATCTATGGGATACATCCAAAGCATTGCTCACAGGAAAATTAATTGCACTAAACACTTTTATTCATATAAGTGAAGGAATAAAATAATAAATTGAATTCCCAATTCTAAAAACTAGAAAGAGAACTAAGTAAATCAAAAGAAATCACAGAGATGGAAATAAGTATAAAGTAGGAAATAATGAAATAGAGAACAGAAAAATAGCAGATCTAATAATAAATCAAAGTCCTAATTGTTTTGAAAAAGTTAACAAAACAGGAGGATGGCCCAGTGGTATAGTGGTTAAGTTTGCACACTCCACTTTGGCGGCCCAGAGTTCAGGGGTTCAATCCCAGATGTGGACTGATGCATTGCTTGTCAAGCCTTGCTGTGGCAGTGTTCGGTATAAAGAAGAGCCCAGAGCCAATCTTCCTCAGCATAAGGGGAGGATTGGCAATGGATGTTAGCTCAGGGCTAATCTTCCTCACAAAAATAAATAAATAAATAAAGTTAACAAAATAGACAAATCATTACCTACCTTGATTAAAAAAAAAAGAAAAAGCACAAACATAAAAAAAAAATAAATGGCAAAGAAGAAATAATCATTGAAAGAAAAGATATTTAAAATTCATTTATATGTCCAATTTATAAGAGATACTTTTAGAGACTTACGCAAATAAATTTGAAAACATTGATGAAATTGGTAATTTCCTACTCAAATGCAAATGACCAAAACTCACACTATTAGAGTGAGAATACTTAAACAGACCAATAGTCACAAGACAAATAGACAAAGTTAGTAAGGAACTACTCCACGAAAAAAGCACCTGGTCCAGATGGTTTCAGAGGGGAATCCTACCAAACCTTCAGAGACCAGATAGTCCCAACATTCTGTAAACTAATTCACAGCATTGTAAAGAAAGGAGAACTTCTTGATTCTCTTAATGAAGAAAGCATAATACTGATATCTAAGCAAGAGAAAGACAGTTCAAACAAGGAAAACTATAGACCCATATCAGTTATGAGTATTGAGACAAAAATTCTAAACAAAATATTTTAGTAAACAAATCAAACACCGTATTATGAAAAACATATACCATAACCAAATAAGATATATTTGAGGAATGCCAGTTTGGTTCAATACTAGAAAACCTATCATCATATACCATGTTAATAAATCTAAGGCAATAAAGCATATGATTTTTTCATAGATGTTGAAAAAACCTTTGGCAAAATTCAACACGTATTCTAGATTAAAACACTCAATAGACATTGAGGGACACTTTCTTAATATGATAAATTATATACACATATCTTAATCCTAAAGCCAGTATCTTGTTTAATGGGGAGACAATAGAGGTATTTCCACCAAAATCAGGAACAAGGCAAGAATGCCCACTATTCCTGCTACTATTTAATGCTGCACTTGAGGTATTAGCCAATGCAATTACAAAAGGGAAATCAATAAGAGACATGAATGGGTAAAGAAGTAAAACTATCTCTATTTTCAGATGATATCACTGTATACCTGGAAAACTCCAGAGACAAAATGAGAGAGAATAAAAGAATTCAGTTAAGTAGCAAGTTATAAACTTACACAGAATTCAACAGCTTTCATACCCACAAACAATAAACACTGGATGTGATTTACATGTCCCATTTACATATCCATATACAACAGCAACAAAGACTAATCCCTACAAATAAATTTAACAAGAAATCTGTAAAACCTCTAAGGAAAATTTTTAAACACTTCTAAAAGATACAAAAGAAGACTTAAATAAATAGAAAGATATCTCCTGTTCTTGCATAGCACAACTCAATACAAAGATGTTAGTTCTCCCTAATTAACATATAAATTCAATCAATCCCAAGAAAAACACCAAAAAGCCAGAACAGCAGTTTTCAGCTTACAGCCATTTTGCCCCCCAGGAGATATTTTGCAACATTTAGAGATATTTTTGATTATTTTAAATGGATGGATGCTACTTACTTCTAGTGGGTGAATGCCAGGGATACTGGTAAATATCCTACAATGCATAGAACAGCCTCTCACAACAAAGAAATACGTAGCCCAGAATTTCAATAGCACCAAGACTGAGAAACCCTGATCCAGACAAGTCAATACTAAAGTTCATATGGAAAAGCAAACATTTAAGAATAGCAAGGAAAACACTGAAAAACTACAAGAGGGTACCAGCACTATCAGACATTATAAAGCCTCATTACTAGACAAGCAGATGACAGCAATAGAATAAAAAGTCCAGCATTAGACTCCCTAAAAGTACATATAGAAATTTAGAATATCACATGGTTGACATCTCAAATTTTTGGGATAAAGATGCACCTTTAAATAAATGGTGCTGGGACAGCTATAATAAAAAACTACCCAACAAGCTTGGTAGCCATTTGGAAAAAAGATAAAATTAGATCCATATCTAACATCACACACCAGAATAAAACTCTAGGCCAGCGCCCCAGCCCCAGCAGCAGCGGCCCCCTGGCACTCCAGGCCCAGCGTCTCCAGTGGGTCCGTGCCCTGGCCCAAGCTGCATTGGTTCAACCTCAACCCGGCCCTTGCTGCATTTTCTCGACTGGGCCCCAGCCCCAACTCTTTTGGCTCAACTGCGCCCTGGTTCCAGCTGCTTCGGCCCAGCCGCATTCCAGCTCCAGCTCCAGCTGCTTCCACCCAGATGCGCCCCAGCTCCAGCTGTTCTAATGTTCCAGCTCCAGCTGTTCCCACAATCCAGCTCCAGCTGCTTACACTCAGCTGTGCTGAGGCTTGGGCATGCTCCAGCTCTAGCTTCTTAGGCCCAGGTGCACCCGAGCTCCAGCTGCTTCTGCCGAGCTGCACTCCAGCCCTAGCTGTTCCCATGCTCCTGCTCCAGCTGTTCCCATGCTCCAGCCCCAGCAGCCTGTGCTCAGCTGTGCTCCAGCTGAGCCACGCTATAGCTCAATCGTGCTTCAGCTCAGCTGGGGTCCAACCAGAGCACCTGTGGTTTGAAGTGACCTCAGAATACAGGCGGCAGGAGGAAACCGCGACCAGAAATTTCCAGTCTGAGGAAAAATAAACCAATACCGTCAGGCACTATGCAAAAATATCCTAAATCTCTAGATGAGAAGGAAAATTACAAATACCCAGAAATCAACCCTGAAAGCACAGAAATGTATAACCTTAATGACAGAGAATGAAGATAGCTATCATAAAAAAGCTCAATGAAATACAAGAAAATACAGATAGACAATTCAATGAAATCAGGAATTTCTTCACAAAAGAGATTGAAACTAGAAAGAAAAACCAATCAGAAATCTTGGAGATGAAAAACACAAGGGAGGAGATAAAGACAAATCTGGAAGCTTTAAGGATCAGAGCCAATAATATGGAGGAAAGAATTAGCAATATTGAGGATAGCAAGGCAAAAAGGTTTCAGATGGAGGAGGATAGAGAACTAACACTAAAAAGAAATGAAGAAACTCTCTGAGAAATATCCAACTCAATTAGGAAATGCAACATAAGGATTATAGGTATTCCAGAGAGAGAAGAGAGGGAAAAAGGAGCAGAGAACCTGTTCAAAGAAATAATAGCTGAGAACCTCTGAAACCTGGGGAAGGAACTGGAAATACCAACGAATGAAATCAATAAATCTCCTAAATATATCAACATGAAAAGACCCTCTCTAAGGCCTATAGTAGTAAAGCTGGCAAAAGTCAACGACAATGAAAAAACATTAAGGGCAGCTAGACAAAAAAACAAACAAAAGAATATAAAAGGAGTTCTGATAGATTAGCAATAAAATAACATTAAAAACTCATATATCAATAATTAACCTAAATGAAATGGACTGAACTCTCCAATCAAAAGACACAGAGTCAGGGCTGACCCTGTGGCTTAGTGGTTCAGTGCATGCGCTCCGCTGCTGGCGGCCCAGGTTCGGATCCCGGGCGCGCACCGATGCACCGCTTCTCTGGCCATGCTGAGGCCACGTCCCACATACAGCAACTAGAAGGATGTGCAACTATGATATACAACTATCTACTGGGGCTTTGGGGAAACGAAAGGAGGAGGATTGGCAATAGATGTTAGCTCAGAGCTGGTTTTCTTCAGCAAAAAGAGGAGGATTAGCATGGATGTTAGCTCAGGGCTGATCTTCTTCACAAAAAAAAAAAAAAAGACACAGAGTCATGGGATGGATTAAAAAACAAGACCCAACATGTGTTTCCTGCTGCCTCCAGGAAACACGTCTCAGCTCTAAAGACAAACACAGGCTCAGAGGGAAAGGAGGGAAGACAATACTCCAAGCCAATGGCAAACAAAAGACAGCAGGTGTTGCCATGCTTATATCAGACAAAGTCTACTTCAAGAAAAAACAGGTACTGAGAGACAAAGAGGGACAATATATAATGATTAAAGGGACACTCCACCAAGAAGACATATCACTTATAAATATATATGCACCCAACACAGCTGCACCAAAGTACATAAGGGAACTATTAACAAACCTAAAAGGAGATATTAACAACAACACAATAATTGTAGGGGATCTTAACACCCCACTTACATCAATGGATAGATCATCCAGAAAGAAAGCCAAAAAGGAAATAGTGGACTTAAATGAAACACTTGATGAGACAGATTTAATAGATATTTATAGAGCACTCCATCCAAACACAGCAGATTACACATTTTTCTCAAACGCACATGGAACATTCTCAAGAATAGACCATACGTTGGGAAAGAAGGCACGCCTCTATAAATTTAAGAAGATTGAAATCATAACAAGCATCTTTTCTGACCATAATGCCATGAAGTTAGAAATCAACTACAAGAAAAAACCCAGGAAAGTGACAAAGACGTGGAGACTAAGCAACATGCTACTGAACAACAAATGGATCATTGATGAAATTAAAGGAGAAATAAAAACATATCCAGAGACAAATGAAAATGAAAATACACAGTACCAACTCATATGAGATGCAGCAAAAGCGGTCCTGAGAGGGAAACTCATAGGAATACAGGCCCACCATAACAAACAAGAAAAAACCCAAATAGGCAGTCTCAAACTATGCCTACCAGAATTAGAAAAAGAAGAACAAACAAAGCCCAGTGTCAGCAGAAGGAGGGAAATAATACAAATCAGAGCAGAAATAAATGCAATCAAAACCAAAAAAATAGTAGAAAGGATCAATGAAACAAAGAGCTGGTTCTTTGAGAAGATAAACAAAAATGACAAACCCTTAGCCAGACTCACCAAGATAAAAAGAGAGAAGGCTCAAATAAATAAAATTAGAAATGAAAAAGGAGAAATTACAAAAGATACCACAGAAATACAAAGGATTATAAGAGAATACTATGAAAAACTATATGCCAACAAATTGAACAATCTAGAAGAAATGGATCAATTCTTAAATTCATACAACCTCCCAAAACTGAATCAAGAAGAAATAGAGAATCTGAATAGACCAATCACAAATAAAGAGATTGAAACAGTAATCAAAAACCTCCCCCAAAATAAAAGTCCAGGACCAGATGACTTCTCTGGAGAATTTTACCAAATATTCAAAGAAGATTTAATACCTATACTTCTCAAACTATTCCAAAAAATAGACGAAGATGGAACACGTCCCAACACATTCTATGAGGCCAACATTGCCCTGATACCAAAGCCAGAAAAGGACAATACTGAGGAAAACTACAGACCAATATCCCTGATGAACATAGATGCACAAATCCTCAACAAAATATTGGAAAATCAAATACAGCAACATATTAAAAAGATCATACATCATGATCATGTGGGATTTATACCCCACATGTGGGTGGTTCAACATCCACAAATCAATCAATCTGAAACACCACATTAACAAAATGAGGAATAAAAACCACGTGATCATCTCAATAGATGCAGAGAACGCATTCAACAAGATCCAACATCCATTTATGATAAAAACTCTCAACAAAATGGGTATAGAAGGAAAGTACCTTAACATAACAAAGGCCATATATGACACAGCCAACATCATATTCAACAGGGAAAAACTGAAAGCCATCCCTCTGAAAACAGGAACAAGACAAGGGTGCCCCCTCTTGCTGTTCTTATTCAACATAGTACTAGAGGTTCTGACCAGAGCAATTAGGCAAGAAAAAAAATAAATAAATGGAATACTAATAGGCAATGAAGAAGTGAAACTCGCACTGTAGGCAGATGACATGATCTTATACATAGAAAACCCTAAAGTATCCATTGGAAAACTATTAGAAATAATCAACAACTACAGCAAAGTTGCAGGGTGCAAAATCAACTTACATAAATCAGTTGCATTTCTATATGCCAATAACAAACTAATGGAAACAGAACTTAAGAAGACAATCCCATTTACAATTGCTTTTCCAATTATAATTACAAAAAGAATAATGTATCTAGAAATAAATTTAACCAAGAAAGTGAAAGACCTATAAAATGAAAACTATAACACATTATTGACTGAAATCAATGATGACATAAAGAAATGGAAAAATATCCCATGCACATGGATTGGAAGAATAAACATAGTTAAAATGTCCATACTACCTAAAGCAATCTACAGATTCAATGCAATCCCAATCAGAATCCCAATGACATTCTTCACGGAAATAGAACAAAGAATACTAAAACTCATACGGGGCAACAAAAGACCCTGAAGAGCTAAAGCAATCCTGAGAAAAAAGAACAAAGCTGGAGGCATCACAATCCCTGACTTTAAAATATACTACAAAGTGATACTAATCAAAACAACATGGTACTGGTACAAAAACAGACACACAGATCAATGGAACAGAAATGGAAGCCCAGAAATAAAACCTCACATCTATGGGAAGCTAATCTTCAACAAAGGAGCTAAGAACATACAGTGGAGAAAGAAAAGTCTCTTCAATAAATGGTGCTGGGAAAACTGGACAGCCACTTGCAAATTATGAACGTAGACCACCTTCTTTCGCCATACACAAAAATTTACTCAAAATGGATGAAATACCTGAAGGTGAGACCTGAAACTATAAAACTCCTGGAAGAAATTATAGGCAGTACACTATTCATCATCGGTCATAAAGGGATCTTTTCGAATTCCACGTCTACTCTGACAAGGGAAACAAAAGAAAAAGTAAACAAGTGGGACTTCATCAGATGAAAGAGCTTCTACAAGGTAAATGAAACCAGGATCAAAACAAATAGGCAACCCACCAGCTGGGAACAAATATTTGCAAACCACATATCCAACAAGGGATTAATCTCCATAATATATAAAGAACTCACATAACTGAACAACATAAAAACAAACAACCTGATCAAAAAACAGGCAGAGGAAATGAACAGACGCTTCTCCAAAGAAGATATACAGATGGCCAATAGGCACATGAAAAGATGTTCAACATCACTAACCATCAGGGAAATGCAAATCCAAACAACACTAAGATATCACCTCACACTTGTTAGAATGGCTATAATCACCAAGACAAAAAACAACAAATGCCGGAGAGGCTGTGGAGAAACGGGAACCCTAATTCACTGCTGGTGGGAATGCAAACTGGCACAGCCTCTATGGAAAACAGTATGGAGATTCCTCAAAAGATTAAGATTAGAAATACATTGCAATCCAGCCTTCCCACTAATGGGTATATACACAAAGAACCTGAAATCAATAATCCAAAGGGCTTATCACCCCTATGTTCATTGCAGCATTATTCACTATAGTCACGACGTGGAAGCAACAGAAGTCTCCCTCGATTGGTGATTGGATAAAGAAGATGTGGTATATATATACAATGGAATACCAATCAGCCATAAAAGAAGACAAAATCATCCCATTTGCAACAACATGGATGGACCTGGAGGGTATTATGTTAAGTAAAATAAGTCAGAAAGAGAAAGACAAACACCACATGATTTCACGCATAAGTGGAAGATAAGCTAACACACGGACAGAGAGAACCATTTGGTGGTTACCAGGGGAAAGGGGATGGGATGTGGGCACAAGGGGTGAAGGGATGCATTTATATGGTGACTGACGAACAATAATGTACA